CAAACCGCCTCAGTTGCGCAATCTCCAGCTGAGCTTCTTTGGACTCGACCCACGACGCCAAGTCGTGTCGTCCCTCAAGGAGCCTTGGCACCACGATTTTGTCAGGAGAAAACTTGAAGTAGCTGAATTCATGAGCAATCCCTCCATCCTTCGAGGCTGTCGGTAGAAAGGCAGTAGAGCCGTCGGCAGCGTTGTCTGCGCCGTCACGACCACCAGAACGGCCTTCTTCAGAAGCACTCTTCTTCTTCAAGCTAGACTCCCTTGCAGGGTCCCTTCCGTCGCCCACGCTTGATCCTTCACCATTCGGTGTTTCTCCTTCTCGTAGAACACCGCGCGACTCTCGCACTCTGACTTTTGCCAAACCTTCCACGTTCTCCTTGTCTCGGTAGACTTCCGCTGCACGCGCCCGTGGATGATCCATCTCCCATTGAGCTCGTAACCCCATCAGCATGAAGTTGAGCTCCTTCTCTGGGAGGTCTTCATAGCGGGCTATCAAGGCAGCCTCCTGCGCCTCGAGATTGTCGACCACCTCGCGGACGTCCGACTCGCCGTCCGTCATATTGACAATCCTGACCTTCTGCGAGACCTAACGTTGTAGATTTGACCTCTATCGCTCGCGTGTTCGTTCCACGCTCATCGCACCATGCAGAGTTTTCTGCTATAACGGGAGATTCTGCGGAAGTGCCTGACGCAGATAGAGCTCTCTAGCTTTGTCGTTCTCTAAGGAGAAAGTTGCCTTCAGAATTGTGTGTTTCACTGAGTTGCTTTTGAGAAAGCTTAGGCACACAAATTCACTAGAATGAAGATTACTAAGTATGGTACACAAGGCAAACACTAGTACTACCCCATTGAACATCATTGAACACGGCGGGAACATTCGCACAAGAACGTTTACATAACTACTCTAAGCTGCGCTTAGCGAAGTCAGCAATGGAAGGTGAAAATTACAACACATGCTTAGTTGGTAATTTTTACCCACTTAGAAGTAGTTATTCTAACAGTTTCAGATATGAAACTGTAAGATGTTACGCACATTTCCGCCGTTACGAAATGTGCGCCACGTGTTTCATTTCTCAATGTCGCAGGTAGATTTTGTCGATTTCGGTCAAGATCGGTTATGAGGTAAACTTACGAAATCGCGACTTTCTCGCAATTTCGGTACGCACCTTCATCGGAAAAACAAAGTCCTCGTTATTTCTGTCGAAGGGTCGCTTGCAGAAGTGAAGTCCGAGATGACTCTCTGACGCGCTTCTGCCGAATGTCGTTTCTGTCGAGAGGATCGTCCACAGAAGAGATAGCCGAATTGCATTTCTGCCGAACTCCCGCAGATCGCAATTCTGCGCGAACAGGTTTTTGAGCCCCTCTGCCCGAAGTCATGTTGGAACGCATTTCTGCAGAGTCCTTTCTGCCGAAAGGGTCGCCCGCAGAAATGTCTTCTGCGCGGACTTCTGCAGAGGACATCCCTTCTGCGAATGGCCCCTGGTGCCAAATCTGCAGAGGGTCTTGTACACTCTCGTTCCCGCTGAGACCGCTTCTATAGAAGCATCAAAATCTGTAGAAGCCATCTGCAGAAAAAACGTTCCTGTTCTGCCACTCCGACAGAACCGCTTCTCTGCCACCAGCGAAAACTGCTCTTCTGCCACTTCCCGCAGAGCCTCGCCTCCTCGACAAATCTACTCTTCATTGATGGGCCTTTCTGCAGAGCTCGTGTCCGCACACTTCGTTGATACGCCGCTTCCGCAGACTTCTGCAACCTTCACAGGATCAGGGCTATTCTCAACATCCTCCTCTTCCTTTCCCCTTCCCTTTCCACCTATCCTCCTCTCCCTTTCCCCCTATCCTCCTCTCCCTTTCCCCCTGTCAACCTCCCCCTTTCCCCCTATCCTGCTCTCCCTTTCCCCCTATCCTCCTCTCCCTTTCCCCCTATCCTCCTCTCCCTTTCCCCCTATCCTACTTTCCCTTTCCCCTTGTCCTCCTCTCCCTTACCCCCCTATACTCCTCCATTCCCCCCATCCTTCTCCTTTCCCCCTATACTCCTCTCCCTTTCCCCTTATCCTCCTCCTTTCCCCCTATACTCCTCTCCCTTTCCCCCTATACTCCTCTCAATTTCCCCCCATCCTCCTCTCCCTTTCCCCCTACCCTCCTCTCCCTTTCCCCCTATCCTCCTCCCCCTCCCACCCAGTCCTCCTCTCCCTTTCCCCCTATCCTCCTCTCCCTTTCCCCCCTGTCCTCCTCTCCTTTCCCCTATCCTGCTCTCCCTTTCCCCCTATCCTCCTCTCCCTTTCCCCCTATCCTCCTCTCCCTTTCCCCCTATCCTACTTTCCCTTTCCCCTTGTCCTCCTCTCCCTTACCCCCTATACTCCTCCATTCCCCCCATCCTCCTCCTTTCCCCCTATACTCCTCTCCCTTTCCCCTTATCCTCCTCCTTTCCCCCTATACTCCTCTCCCTTTCCCCCTATACTCCTCTCAATTTCCCCCATCCTCCTCTCCCTTTCCCCCTACCCTCCTCTCCCTTTCCCCCTATCCTCCTCCCCTCCCCCCAGTCCTCCTCTCCCTTTCCCCCTATCCTCCTCTCCCTTTCCCCCCTGTCCTCCTCTCCTTTCCCCCCTGTCCTCTCCCTTTCCCCCTATACTCCTCTCCCTTTCCCCCTATCCTCCTCTCCCTTTCCCCCTGTCCTCCTCTCCCTTTCCCCCTATCCTCATCTCCCCTTCCCCCTATCCTCCTCTCCCTTTCCCCCTGTCCTCCTCTCCCTTTCCCCTATCCTCCTCTCCCTTTCCCCCTATCCTCCTTTCCCTCTCCCCCTATACTCCTCTCCCTTTCCCCTATCCTCCTCTCCCTTTCCCCCTATCCTCCTCTCCCTTTCCCCTTGTCCTCCTCTCCCTTTCCCCCTGTCCTCCTCTCCCTTTCCCCCTGTCCTCCTTTCCCTTTCCCCCTATCCTCCTCTCCCTTTCCCCCTGTCCTCCTCTCCCTTTCCCGCTGTCCTCCTCTCCCTTTCCCCCTGTCCTCCTCTCCCGTTCCCCTGTCCTCCTCTCCCTTTCCCCCTATCCTCCTCTCCCTTTCCCCTTTCCTTTCCCCCTATCCTCCTCTCCCTTTCCCCCTATCCTCCTCTCCCTTTCCCCATCTCCTCCTCTCACTTTCCCCCTGTCCTCCTCTCCCTTTCCCGCTATCCTCCTCTCCCTTTCCCCCTATCCTCCTCTCCATTTCCCCCTGTCCTCCTCTCCCTTTCCCCCTATCCTCTTCTTCCTTTCCCCCTGTCCTCCTCTCCTTTCCCCCCTGTCCTCTCCCTTTCCCCCTATCCTGCTCTCCCTTTCCCCCTGTCGTCCTCTCCCTTTCCCCCTGTTCTCCTCTCCCTTTCCCCCTATCCTGCTCTTCTTTTCCCCCTGTCCTCCTCTCCCTTTCCCCATGCCCTCCTCTCCCTTTCCCCCTATTCTCCTCTCCCTTTCCCCCTATCCTCCTCTCCCTTTCCCCCTTTTCCTCCTCTCCCTATCCCCCCATCCTCCTCTCCCTTTCCCCCTTTCCTCCTCCCCCTTCCCCCCTGTCCTCCTCTCCCTTTCCACCTATCCTTCTCTCCCTTTCCCCCTATCCTCCTCTCCCTTTCCCACTGTCCTCCTCTCCGTTTCCCCCTATCCTGCTCTCCCTTTCCCCCTGTCCTCCTCTCCCTTTCCCCTGTCCTCCTCTCCCTTTCCCCCTATCCTCCTCTCCCTTTCCCCTTCCCTTTCCCCCTATCCTCCTCTCCCTTTCCCCCTGTCCTTCTCTCCCTTTCCCCTTATCCTGCTCTCCCTTTCCCCCTGTCCTCCTCTCCCTTTCCCCCTGTCCTCCTCTCCCTTTCCCCCTATCCTCCTCTCCCTTTCCCCTTCCCTTTCCCCCTATCCTCCTCTCCCTTTCCCCCCATCCTCCTCTCCCTTTCCCCCTACCCTCCTTTCCCTTTCCCCCTATCCTCCTCCCCCTTTCCCCCTGTCCTCCTCTCCCTTTCCCCTATCCTCCTCTCCCTTTCCCTCTGTCCTCCTCTCCCTTTCCCCCTATCCTTCTCTCCCTTTCCCCCTGTCCTCCTTTCCCTTTCCCCCTGTCCTCCTCTCCCTTTCCCCCTATTCTCCTCTCCCTTTCCCCATATCCTCCTCTCCCTTTCCCCCTTTTCCTCCTCTCCCTGTCCCCCTATCCTCCTCTCCGTTTTCCCCTTTCCTCCTCGCCCTTCCCCCCTGTCCTCCTCTCCCTTTCCCCCTGTCCTCCTCTCCCTTTTCCCCCATCCTCCTCTCCCTTTCCCCCTACCCTCCTCTCCATTTCCCCCTATCCTCCTCCCCCTTCCCCTCTGTCCTCCTCTCCCTTTCCCCCTGTCCTCCTCTCCCTTTCCCCCTATCCTCCTCTCCCTTTCCCCTGTCCTCCTCTCCCTTTCCCCCTATCCTCCTCTCCTTTCCCCCTATCCTCCTCTCCCTTTCCCCCTCTCCTCCTCTCCCTTTCCCCCTGTCCTCCTCTCCCTTTCCCTCTATCCTCCTCTCCATTTCCCCCTGTCCTCCTCTCCCTTTCCCCCTATCCTCCTCTTCCTTTCCCCCTGTCCTCCTCTCCTTTTCCCCCTGTCCTCTCCCTTTCCCCCTATCCTGCTCTCCCTTTCCCCCAGTCGTCCTCTCCCTTTCCCCCTGTTCTCCTCTCCCTTCCCCCCTATTCTGCTCTTCTTTTCCCCCTGTCCTCCTCTCCCTTTCCCCCTGTCCTCCTCTCCCTTTCCCCGATTCTCCTCTCCCTTTCCCCCTATCCTCCTCTCCCTTTCCCCCTTTTCCTCCTCTCCCTGTCCCCCTATCCTCCTCTCCCTTTCCCCCTTTCCTCCTCCCCCTCCCCCCTGTCCTCCTCTCCCTTTCCACCTATCCTTCTCTCCGTTTCCCCCTATCCTCCTCTCCCTTTCCCCTATCCTCCTCTCCCTTTCCCCCTGTCCTCCTCTCCCTATCCCCCTGTCCTCATCTCCCTTTCCCCCTATCCTTCTCTCCCTTTCCCCCTGTCCTCCTCTCCCTTTCCCCCTATCCTCCTCTCCCTTTCCCCCTATCATCCTACCCCTTTCCCCCTACCCTCCTCTCCCTTTCCCCCTGTCCTACTCTCCCTTTCCCCCTGTCCTCCTCTCCCTTTCCCCCGATTCTCCTCTCCCTTTCCCCCTCTCCTCCTCTCCTTTTCCCCCTTTTCCTCCTCTCCCTGTCCCCCTATCCTCCTCTCCCTTTCCCCCCTTCCTCCTCCCCCTCCCCCCCTGTCCTCCTCTCCCTTTCCCCCTGTCCTCCTCTCCCTTTCCCCCTGTCCTCCTCTCCTTTCCCCCTGTCCTCCTCTCCCTTTCCCCCTGTCCTCCTCTCCCTTTCCCCCTGTCCTCCTTTCCCTTTCCCGTATCCTGCTCTCCCTTTCCCCCTGTCCTCCTCTCCCTTTCCCCCTGTCCTCCTCTCCCTTTCCCCCTATCCTCCTCTTCCTTTCCCCTTTCCTTTCCCCCTATTCTCCTCTCCCTTTCCCCCTATCCTCCTCTCCCTTTCCCCCTGTCCTCCTCTCCCTTTCCCCCTGTCCTCCTCTCCCTTTCCCCCTGTCCTCCTCTCCCTTTCCCCCTGTCCTCTTCTCCCTTTCCCCCTGTCCTCCTTTCCCTTTCCCCTATCCTGCTCTCCCTTTCCCCCTGTCCTCCTCTCCCTTTCCCCCTGTCCTCCTCTCCCTTTCCCCCTATCCTCCTCTTCCTTTCCCCTTTCCTTTCCCCCTATCCTCCTCTCCCTTTCCCCCTGTCCTCCTCTCCCTTTCCCCCTGTCCTCCTCTCCCTTTCCCCCTGTCCTCCTACCCCTTTCCCCCTGTCCTCCTCTCCCTTTCCCCCTGTCCTCCTCTCCCTTTCCCCCTATCCTGCTCTCCCTTTCCCCCTGTCCTCCTCTCCCTTTCCCCCTGTCCTCCTCTCCCTTTCCCCCTATCCTCCTCTTCCTTTCCCCTTTCCTTTCCCCCTATCCTCCTCTCCTTTCCCCTATCCTCCTCTCCCTTTCCCCTGTCCTCCTCTCCCTTTCCCCCTGTCCTCCTCTCCCTTTCCCCCTGTCCTCCTCTCCCTTTCCCCCTGTCCTCTTCTCCCTTTCCCCCTGTCCTCCTTTCCATTTCCCCCTATCCTGCTCTCCCTTTCCCCCTGTCCTCCTCTCCCTTTCCCCCTGTCCTCCTCTCCCTTTCCCCCTATCCTCCTCTTCCTTTCCCCTTTCCTTTCCCCCTATCCTCCTCTCCCTTTCCCCCTGTCCTCCTCTCCCTTTCCCCCTCTCCCTTTCCCCCTGCCCTCCTCTCCCTTTCCCCCTATCCTCCTACCCCTTTCCCCCTGTCCTCCTCTCCCTTTCCCCCTGTCCTCCTCTCCCTTTCCCCCTATCCTGCTCTCCCTTTCCCCCTGTGCTCCTCTCCCTTTCCCCCTGTCCTCCTCTTCCTTTCCCCATATTCTCCTCTCCCTTTCCCCCTATCCTCCTCTCCCTTTCCCCTTATCCTCCTCTCCCTTTCCCCCTATACTCCTCTCCCTTTCCCCCTATACTCCTCTCCCTTTCCCCCCATCCTCCTCTCCCTTTCCCCCTGCCCTCCTCTCCCTTTCCCCCTATCCTCCTCCCCCTTCCCCCTGTCCTCCACTCCGGGTTTAGGGTTTCCGCCTCTCCCTTTCCCCCTTTTCCTCCTCTCCCTGTCCCCCTATCCTCCTCTCCCTTTCCCCTTTCCTCCTCCCCCTCCCCCCCTGTCCTCCTCTCCCTTTCCACCTATCCTTCTCTCCGTTTCCCCCTATCCTCCTCTCCCTTTCCCCCTATCCTCCTCTCCCTTTCCCCCTGTCCTCCTCTCCCTATCCCCCTGTCCTCATCTCCCTTTCCCCCTATCCTTCTCTCCCTTTCCCCCTGTCCTCCTCTCCCTTTCCCCCTATCCTCCTCTCCCTTTCCCCCTATCATCCTACCCCTTTCCCCCTACCCTCCTATCCCTTTCCCCCTGTCCTACTCTCCCTTTCCCCCTGTCCTCCTCTCCCTTTCCCCCGATTCTCCTCTCCCTTTCCCCCTCTCCTCCTCTCCTTTTCCCCCTTTTCCTCCTCTCCCTGTCCCCCTATCCTCCTCTCCCTTTCCCCCCTTCCTCCTCCCCCTCCCCCCCTGTCCTCCTCTCCCTTTCCCCCTGTCCTCCTCTCCCTTTCCCCCTGTCCTCCTCTCCCTTTCCCCCTGTCCTCCTCTCCCTTTCCCCCTGTCCTCCTCTCCCTTTCCCCCTGTCCTCCTTTCCCTTTCCCCGTATCCTGCTCTCCCTTTCCCCCTGTCCTCCTCTCCCTTTCCCCCTGTCCTCCTCTCCCTTTCCCCCTGTCCTCCTCTCCCTTTCCCCCTATCCTCCTCTTCCTTTCCCCTTTCCTTTCCCCCTATTCTCCTCTCCCTTTCCCCCTATCCTCCTCTCCCTTTCCCCCTGTCCTCCTCTCCCTTTCCCCCTGTCCTCCTCTCCCTTTCCCCCTGTCCTCCTCTCCCTTTCCCCCTGTCCCCCCCCCCTGTCCTCTTCTCCCTTTCCCCCTGTCCTCCTTTCCCTTTCCCCCTATCCTGCTCTCCCTTTCCCCCTGTCCTCCTCTCCCTTTCCCCCTGTCCTCCTCTCCCTTTCCCCCTATCCTCCTCTTCCTTTCCCCTTTCCTTTCCCCCTATCCTCCTCTCCCTTTCCCCCTGTCCTCCTCTCCCTTTCCCCCTGTCCTCCTCTCCCTTTCCCCCTGTCCTCCTACCCCTTTCCCCCTGTCCTCCTCTCCCTTTCCCCTGTCCTCCTCTCCCTTTCCCCCTATCCTGCTCTCCCTTTCCCCTGTCCTCCTCTCCCTTTCCCCCTGTCCTCCTCTCCCTTTCCCCCTATCCTCCTCTTCCTTTCCCCTTTCCTTTCCCCCTATCCTCCTCTCCCTTTCCCCCTATCCTCCTCTCCCTTTCCCCCTGTCCTCCTCTCCCTTTCCCCTGTCCTCCTCTCCCTTTCCCCCTGTCCTCTCTCCCTTTCCCCCTGTCCTCTTCTCCCTTTCCCCCTGTCCTCCTTTCCCTTTCCCCCTATCCTGCTCTCCCTTTCCCCCTGTCCTCCTCTCCCTTTCCCCCTGTCCTCCTCTCCCTTTCCCCCTATCCTCCTCTTCCTTTCCCCTTTCCTTTCCCCCTATCCTCCTCTCCCTTTCCCCCTGTCCTCCTCTCCCTTTCCCCCTCTCCCTTTCCCCCTGCCCTCCTCTCCCTTTCCCCCTATCCTCCTACCCCTTTCCCCCTGTCCTCCTCTCCCTTTCCCCCTGTCCTCCTCTCCCTTTCCCCCTATCCTGCTCTCCCTTTCCCCCTGTCCTCCTCTCCCTTTCCCCCTGTCCTCCTCTTCCTTTCCCCATATTCTCCTCTCCCTTTCCCCCTATCCTCCTCTCCCTTTCCCCTTATCCTCCTCTCCCTTTCCCCCTATACTCCTCTCCCTTTCCCCCTATACTCCTCTCCCTTTCCCCCCATCCTCCTCTCCCTTTCCCCCTGCCCTCCTCTCCCTTTCCCCCTACCTCCTCCCCCTTCCCCCTGTCCTCCACTCTTGGTTTAGGGTTTCCGCCTCTCCCTTTCCCCCTAGCCTCCTTTCCCTTTCCCCCTATCCGCCTCTCCCTTTCACCCTGTCCTCCCCTCTCTTACCCCCTCTCCTCCTCTCCCTTTCCCCCTGTCCTCCTCTCCCCTTCCCCCAATCCTCCTCTCCCTTTCCCCCTGTCTTCCTCTCCCTCGCATTGCCCTTTGCTCCCCCTCTCATTGCCCTGTGCTCCCCCTCTCATTGTGCTCACATCTCCCCCTCTCATTGCCCTCTGCTCCCCCTCGCATTGTGCTCACATCTCCCCCTCTCATTGCCCTCTACTCCCCTCTCATTGTGCTCACATCTCTCCCTCTCATTGCCCTCTGCTCCCCCTCTCATTGTGCTCACATCTCCCCCTCGCATTGCCCTCTGCTCCCCCTCTCATTGTGCTCACATCTCCTCCTCTCATTGCCCTCTTCTCCCCCTCTCATTGTGCTCACATCTCTCCCTCTCATTGCCCTCTGCTCCCCCTGTCATTGCCATCTGCCCCCCCTCTCATTTTGCTTACATCTCCCCCTCTCATTGCCCTCTGCTCCCCCTCGCATTGTGCTCACATCTCCTCCTCTCATTGCCCTCTGCTCCCCCTCTCATTGTTCTCACATCTCCTGCTCTCATTGACCTCTGCTCCCCCTCTCATTGTGCTCACATCTCCTCTCATTGCCCTCTGCTCCCCCTCTTATTGTGCTCACATCTCCTCCTCTCATTGCCCTCTGCTCCCCCTCTCATTCTCACCATCCGCTTCTCCCCTCCCCACCCCCTTCCCTTATCTGTACACACTCCCTGCCATATCAGATTAGACGGTTTCAGGGGGAACACCACTGGCGATATGAGATGGGCTGTGGGGGTCCCATCTCCATGGCGGCATGTGCAAATGCCTCTAGTTATCTACTCACTACTTTCTGGTCAGGGGATAGTGTCGACATGCACTACTTTTGCTGGCCAGTGTGGCGTTGTGGTGGCGCTGTGAGAGAATGTGCTTTTATTTCAATGGCATGTCTGCTACTCTGGTCCTCGGTCTTAGGTACCGGTACATCCGTTGTTTTTCTGGGCATGTGGTGTTGTGAGATTTCAAGAAGACATGCTTTGTTGTTTAGTCTATGCGTGCTACTAGCTTGGTTCAACAACTTCTTACACAAATGCGCCACACCGACCTGTGCAATTGCACCACGAAACATGGTTGGGCAGGAGGGTGGAAGGAATCTGCAACACTTTAGGGCGTGTCTGAGAGTCTGGGGGAACCCAGCCCGCACACCCATCAGCGACACCTTCCAACGTAAACAAGGAGGCCACACCCACCAGCCCCACGAATCGGTTGCACCCCCTGAGCTGCAGGGAGCAGCCTCGCCGACAAGCACACCCCCTCCGTCAGCAAAAGGCAACGCCTATCAAGCATGCCAAATACCGTTGCATATGTCAGGCATGCCAGATAGCCATAGCTATCAGGCATGCCAAGCAGTGGGACCGCGCTGCCATGCCAAACTGCCACGCCTATCAGGCATGCCAAGCAGCTGCCCATGTCAGGCATGCCATGCAGCTGCGCACGTCAGGCATGCGAAGCAGTTGCATATTTCAGGCATGCCAAGTAGCTGCACATGTCAGGCTTGACAAGCAGTTGCATATTTCAAGCATGCCAAGTAGCTGCACACGTCAGGCATGCCAAGCAGCTGCACATGTCAGGCATGCCAAGCAGTTGCATATGTAAGGCATGCCAAGTAGCTGCACATGTCAGACATGCCAAGCACTTGCATATGTCAGGCATGCCAAGTAGCTGCACATGTCAGGCATGCCAAGCATTTGCATATTTCGTGCATGCCAAGTAGCTGCACATATCAGGCATGCTAAGCAGTTGCATATTTCAGGCAAGCCAAGTAGCTGCACATGTCAGGCATACGCTGTAGCGGCACATGTCAGGCATGCCAAGCAGCTGCACATGTCAGGCATGCCATGCAGCTGCAAATGGCAGGCATGCCAAGCAGTTGCATATGTTAGGCATGCCAAGCAGTTGCATATGTCAGGCATGCCAAGCAGCAGCACATGACAGGCATGCCAAGCATAGGCACATGTCAGGCATGCCAAGCAGCTGAACATGTCAGGCATGCCATGCAGCTGCACATGTCAAGCATGCCAAGCAGCTGCATATGTCAGGCATGCCAAGTAGCTGCACATGTCAGGCATGCCATGCAGAGAAAATGCGCTGCACATGTCAGGCGCGCCAAACAGCTACACCTATGAGGCATGTTGAACAGCCACGCATATCAGGCATGCCAAGCAGCCACTCCTCTCAGCCATGCCAAATTGCCGCGCCTCTCAGCCATGCCAAACAGCCACACCTATTGGGGTTTCCAAACCGCCAGACCTGTCAGCCCCACCTGCCTTGCACACCCTAATGCTCTACCTATTAGCCACACCAATCGGCAACCACAATAAGCAACCACAATCAGCAACCACAATCAGCCACCCTTATCATGCACACACGGCATACCTATCCTCCACAACTCAGCCACACCAAACAGCAAGTATCTGCCGAGCGGAGGGAGCTAGGTATGGATTTGTTTACCTGCCAGGCTAGCAGTGCTGCTGCTTATAGGGGCGCGTGGCCAGGCGCGGTCCTCGGAGGCTTGAAGGGTAGCCTGAGGGTGCGAGTCTCCACACAGCCCGCCGGACGCTTACCGCAGCAAGTTGGTGCCATCAGCTGCATGCGTGGGAACGGGCATCGGAGGCAAAGCATAAAAGGGGGTTTGGGAACACACGGTCGGCCTATGGGGTACACACCAGCGGGACAGATTGGACGTTTTGGCGTTGCAAAGGGACCACGGGCAGGCGCAATAAAGGGGGTCACCTTGAAACATGCAATGAGAGAACGGGTGTAAGTCTCACCAAGTATCTGCCGAGCAACGCTTGAAGGTGCAACACGGCGAGGTGAAGGAGGGCATTGGCTCAGGTGCTGGGGTGTCCTGAGCGGAGTGACAACAATGTCTGGATATGCAAGGGATACTGTATCTTGCCGTGTGCAGGTGCGCCGCATCGCATCACACCCCAAGTCCGCGGTACACTCCCGCTCCACAGCGTTGGGCGTATCCTGTTGCCACTCCCCCATAATACGGTCAACCCAGCCCCAATCCATTTTTCCCAATACCCTAGTGTGCTTCCCGCGTCGAGTCTGCGTAACACGGACCACTCGGGTCACGTAGGCTATCACCAGACGGTCCATGCAGTTGTTCCAATGGAGAACGGCCAGAGCGGTCCTCGCACGGAAGCTACCTCGCAGCCTTAAGCATTTCGGTGCATACTTGCAAATAAGGGAGTGAAACGACTTGTTCAGCGAACTGCATGCACCGTGGATGAACATCTTCACCTGCTCCACCCCATAGTGCTTTGTGAGCCGATTTGTCACAGCTTGGTGCGTCTCAGATCCGTCCGCGTGTATGGCATTCTCCTTACCCCAGTGCTCAGACACGCAACGTGGGGGGGTGATCCCACCCCGTGCACACCGTGAATGATCCCCCCCCCCAAGTGGTCAGCGGACATGCAAATCTCCTCTAGCACGGCCGCCGCCGTCATGGGATGGCCATCGCGCTTGCAGACGCCGCATCGCATCATGACGTGATAGAAGTGGATTAGCAGACGCTGTACAACCGTCACCTCCTCCTCCCTATTACAACCAGCCCCCTCTACCGACGCCGACCCTCTTTTCCGCTTTGAGCGCTTGGCCCATAGGGGTAGGGGGGGCGCGTGGACGACCTCCAGTGCCACACTTCCCGTGGTCCCTGCATCGGTTTGGGCATATCGGCATGTGTCTTGGCCTGCAATAGTTGACGCAGGGGTCGCAGCTGCCAACACACAGAGATTTCAGTCAGTGTTGGATGATTCAAACTCGCTACCTCACAGCAAGGGTGCCTCACCTACGGGCGCAGGAATCTCCTGCCACGGCATCGCTCCACCGATGAAGTGATCGCACCTTGCATCCCCCATGTGCGCGTGCACCATGATCATCGATTCCATGGAAGAGGGCCGAATCCCAAACTTCTCGTGTGCATCGTACCCCCACCGTTCTCCCACGTCCGCCAATTGAACCTCCACACAAATGGAACCCGCTGGTCCAGCGATCGCCTCAGCCCCCCCCGTCCCCCCATCTCCCGCCGCACCCCTCGCGTTAACCGCATCCTCCTCAAAACTGGGCCTGTCATCGCTTCCAATCGGAACCCCACCATAGGAAAGCGGGACACCCACACACGCGGTGTCCCCTCCAACCCGCATCACCTTGCGTAACTCGGGAAACATGTATTTTGTATCGTCCTGCGTCATTTGAATGTATGGGAATTGGCCCATCGCCTTGCAGACTTGCTGTACGAGTGTCTCCTTGAGCGATGCTTTTGCTTCATTTACTCTACCCTTCTCTACCAACCAGGCCCGCAAGTTCTCTACACTCGCGTTCCATAAATCCTCGATTTGTTGCATCACACAAACGGGGACGACTGGCCGCAAGCTGTCCTGCAAATCTTTTAAGAACCCTTTCTTCATAGACTGCTTCACATGCCACCAGTCTACTTGGTGATTCATCTCCTGCTCTTTAGCAGCCCCCCTGAACGAACTCCCTTGATCCAATATGATACCCCCGATAGGAAATCCCTCTTCCTCCATCCGTTCCATGCCCTGGTCGAACGCGTGGCGTTCGAGCTTCACCGACGACGGATCGTCAACACCCTTCTGCGTAGTCTAGACAAACAAGATCTTTCTCGTGTGTTCATCAATCCATGAGACAGTGCACCACTCTCCCTCTTACACCTGGGACCACCGTCCGTCCACGCATACGTACTCAGCACCATCAGGGTTTCTTTCTAAAATACATTTCCTAACATCCAGCATTGATACCTCCGCCTCTCGAATGATGGTTTTCCACAACCCCTTCTCGCCCCCCAGGTGCTAGTAAAACGTTGACTTGCCTGGACATGGGAGTTTGAATGTGCGACTAAATTCCCACATTTGTTGGTAACCCATCCCAGCCAGTGCAAACGCCCCCAAGTACCGGGACAGCTGTGTCGGCGATCGTGGCCCCTTCCTCCTCCTCCCCGCCTCTAACTCCCGCCTTGTGCTCCCCACAGATGGCATCCGGCATCCGTTGAAGAATTTGATAGTATGTCTGACCTCTAGCAAACCTACTTCAGCAGCGTTGTAACATTCAACGTTCGAAGAGGCGACGGGCCCCTTTGGTTTAGCCTTGCGGGCGAGGTCTTTCAGATGGTTGTGGGTGGTGTCCCTGACGGCCTGTAGAGGAAAGGGAAGCATTGGGTGGAAGGTGGGTGTGTGGGATGGGGTGGGGGCTCTGGGCAACTCTGAGCAAACTCTAGGCAAAGTAGCACGCCAAAAGGAGAGTATGGGGAAAGGGGACAGGAAGTCCTAACCTCGGCGCACGTGGTGCTAGTAACCTGCCTCACTTGCTGTACGGCCAGGAGCGGTACGGGCTGGGAGAATTGATCAACCAACCTCCAACAACGACATGCCTAACGAGACTCACCCGTTGTGAGTTAAGGACTCGTGTGCGGCGGGGCGCGGCATTGATGGCGCACGCGTTAGCCTATCAGCTCCACTAGCCCCATCCTCGGCCGTACATGGAAAAGGTAGGGAGGGAGCTGGCCTCAGCAAGCCGGTCGCACTGCCGTTCGGGGGGGATGTCGGGTTTTGAGAGGGGGTGTTTGGGGGGATGGGCGGGGTCGCTAGTGGAGTGGTCTGGCCTCATAGTACGCCCGTCCCTAATCACGTGCCAAGCATCATGTGGCTCACCTGCTGGGTGTCGACGGACCGAGTGCGGCAGGGCACGGTGTAGAGGGCGCACGTGATACCCCAAGTGGGCCCCCGGCCCCTTCGCATCCCATGCGTGGGATGGGGGGGGAAGGGATTGGCCTTTGCATAGCGCTTGCACTGCGGGTTTGGATGGGGGTTGGGTAGTAGGGGAAATGGCATTGTCGTAGCAGCACCCTGCACAGAGTGTTGGGTATTTGGAGGGTGGTGTGAAGCCTAGACCACTTGCATGAAATATTGGGCAACATGTGACCCACAAGTATCGTGGGCCGTAACCCCCTGTGCACATCCATCACCCCGTAGTTCAGGGACCCCAAACCATCACCCTCCTTTGTGGGGCCCTACCTGCTTGGAGCACTTGTACCACCCATATTTCGCTGTGTCGTGGGAGATGCAGGTGAGGCAGTAGTCACGCTGGGAGGTAACCCCACCGCAGGGGCGGTATCGCAGCCCCTGTCATCCGTGTAGCTATAGGGTTGAGGGGCGGCCACCTGCACATCTCCTCCTCCATTGCACTCAGCGTGTCGTGGAAGTAGTATGGCAAGGACACAATCTTAAGGGTGGAGGATCCTGGAGCGCTCGCAAATTTATGCCCCTCCAAACCTCCTAGCCTCACGGCCCTTACTAGGCTTGAGCATGAATCCGACCCGACCTGACACGACCCGACTTTGCCCTACCCGATGTCGGGTTCGGGTTGGGTCGAGTCGGGTCAAGTCGGGTCGGAGTTCATGAATTGTCAACCCGACCCGTGTTTAATAGGTCGGGTACTAACGGACCCAATTTCGGGTCGGGTCGGGTCGGGTTGGCATTGGGGCAGGGACGGGTAATAAGCCGACCCAACGGGTCGGGTTTTGTCGGTCGGGTCAGGCCGGGTCAGGTCGGGTACCCGAGGGCCGGGTCGACCCTCCGCAAATGTCGACCCGTCCCGTCAAAAAGTCGACCTCGGGTCGGGTTACCCGACTCGACCCGACCCGTTGCTCACCTCCAGATGTCCGTCTGCCGTCACCCACTGGTGGCGCGGTGCTGTTCTCGGTACCCACGTCCCCTGGTACGACATCACCGAGCTGCACACCTCCAATGACGACCCCGCCGCCGCCCCCTACGTTGTATGCAGAGGGTGGGGGTCATGGATAAGAGGGGCGAGGCATTGCGGGGCAGGTTGGCTTCGCTTCTCCAGATGCCTCCCCACACCTTCCTTCCCAGCATCCCGATGCTCACCTTGCCCAGCTATGAAATCCTTTCCTTTGCGATCACCGCCCCATCCTGCCCCCTCGGCGAGTATGTACCCCCCGTTCTTTCTCCAGGTGTACAGCGGCAAGTTAAGAGCCACGCCTGGCAGTTCCCGGTTCGGCCTTGTGAGGAGCTCCTCGGCGGTTGCTGCGCCACCCTTCACCCGACGCTTGAATATGTGGCTGTACGCTGTCTTGTGCTCGCTGACAAGGCTTCGAGCTGCAGCCCCGTCGGCCTGCGAGACTGGGCACAGTGGAATGTTCTAGGCCGTTTTGGGTGACAGCATTAGTGGGGCAGTGCAAGGTAAACACACCAGGGTGGGAGCATAGAATCGCGCTTACCAGCATGGTAGGCTGCCTCCTCCAGACTCTTGATGGCGTCCTTAGCATGCTGCGCCAAAAAGTACAACAGATCATCCATGCTTGCGACCTCCTCCTCCAGCCCCAAGAGCACTGTCAGCCCTAGTCTCTGCACCTTTACTATCGGTTGCATGTGGCATGTGATGTTCACACTACCCCCCTTTGACTCCACCAAAGCTCTTAGTGCTCGTGGTGCTCTCGGGGTAGCCATTGCTAGCACGTGTATTGCACAAACCTGCGGGGGGGTAAGAAGTGTGACACAGGTGCAAGTGTGTAGCGTGTGTGTGGACGGTGCAGCGAGAGGCATTGAAGCCCTAGTTGGCGAGTGGGTGGTGCAGCCCATGTGTGCTTGGTGCAGACAAGGCTACGAGGTTAGGCGCGTGTGAGCTTTGAGCAGCCAAGACGGAGAGAGGTGGCGCGTGTGTGCTTGCTGCAGCAAAGGCAGGGAGGTGCAGTGCGTGTGTGCTTACTACAGCAAAGGCAGGGAGGTGCAGTGCGTGTGTGCTTGCTGCAGGGACGGAGAGGTGCAGTGCGAGTGTGCTTGGTGCAGCAATGGCAGTGAGGTGCAGTGCGTGTGTGCTTGCAACAGGGACGGCAGGGAGGTGCAGTGCGTGTGTGCTTTGAGCAGCCAAGGTAGTGAGGTGCGGTGTGTGTGTGCTTTGAGCAGCCAAGGCTGCGAGGTGCGGCGCGTGTGTGCTTTGAGCAGCCAAGGCTGCCAGGTGCGGCGCGTGTGTGCTTTGATCAGCCAAGGCTGCGTGGTGCAGTGCGTGTGTGCTTTGAGCAGCCATGGCAGGGAGGAGCAGCGTGCGTGTGCTTGCTGCAGCCAAGGCAAGGAGGTGCAGTGCATGTGTGCTCGCTACAGACAAGGCAGTGAGGTGCGCGCGTGTGCCCTCGCTGCAGACAAGGCAGTAAGGTGCTGCGTGTGTGTGCTTTGAGCAGCCAAGGTAGTGAGAGGTGGCGCGTGTGTGCTTGGTGCATCCAAGGCTGCGAGTTGCGGCGTGTGTGAGCTTTGAGCAGCCAAGGCTGCGAGGTGCGGCCCATGCGGCTTGAAGCAGCCTAGGCTGCGAGGTGCGGCGTGTGTGTGCTTTGAGCAGCCAAGGCTGCGAGGTGCGGCCCATGCGGCTTGAAGCAGCCTAGGCTACGAGGTGCGGTGCGTGTGTGCATTGAGCAGCCAAGGCTGCGAGGTGCGGTGTGTGTATGCTTGGTGCAGCCAAGGCTGCGAGGTGCGGCGCATGTGTGCTTTAAGCATCCAAGGCTGCGAGGTGCGGCGCGTATGTGCTTTGAGCAGCCAAGGCTGTGAGGTGCGGCGCGTGTGTGCTTAGAGAAGCCAAGGCTGCGAGGTGCGGCGCGTGTGTGCTTTAAGCAGCCAAGGCTGCATGGTGCAACGCGTGTGTGCTTTGAGTAGCCATGGCTGCGAGGTGCAGCGCGTGTGTGCTTTGAGCAGCCAAGGCAGGGAGGTGCGGCACATGTGTGCTTTTAGCAGCCACAGTTGCAAGGTGCGGCGCGTGTGTGCTTTGAGCAGCCAAGGCTGCGAGGTGCGGCACGTGTGTGCTTTGAGCAGCCAAGGCAGTGAGGTGCGGTGCGTGTGTGCTTTGAGCAGCCAAGGCTGCGAAGTGCGGCGCGTGTGTGCTTGCTGCGGACAAGGCAATGAGGTGCGTGCGTGCAGCAGGAGGGAATATGGTGCAGTGCCTCAGAGTGTGGTGCAGCGGGAGGCTGTGCACTGCAGCGTAACGTCCCTCAGAGCAGCAGATGGACCCGTGATGCGACGTGAGGGAGTATGCCACTCGAGCGTTTCATGGGGGTGCGGATCTCCCGGGCGAGAGTGGGGGGCTTCCCACTTGGGAGTGAGGTGCAGCGGGGCCGTCGGTGGTTCAGCAGGAGGGCGGGGCACTCTGTGCCGGGGACTATGGTAGAGAGAGCTTGTGGGCGGTGCAGTGGGCTGGGGTGCACGGCAGCGCGTGAGAGTGGGGTGCAGCAAGTACGTGAATGGTGCGGCCCTTCAGAAAGCGGGGCAATGAGAGGTAATGCTGTGCAGACGGCGGGGATGTGGCGCAGCGGAACGGCATGAGGTCGTGGGGGTTGGCGTTTAGAGGCGGGAGTGAGTGGCGTGCGGTGTGAGGGAGTGTGGTGACGCAGAGGGGACTCGCGGACGACAGTATGGGTGGGGGCGCGGTGCAGAGCGTGTCCCAACCCCCCGATGGGAGGGGTTTTCGTGCCGCGGGAGCGTGCTTGGTGCAGGGGAGCGAGGGAGTTGATGCGAGACCTAGTGGCGGGGGTCCGTCGTCCGTTTCTCACGTTTTATCAGGCGCGTGTTCGGCGCGCCTGTCTTCGGTCGCCTTCCTTCGGGCGGAGGCCTCCAGGCGCGTCTCCACTTCCCTTTCCCCTCGTTTTTATGCAGTGCGAGCCCCTCCGGCCTTGTCGCGCAGGCCGCAGGTTTGTAGTGATCGAATTAGTTTATCACAGCTCCTTTCCCCCTGCCACGTCTCTGTCGAGTCTACCATGCGCTTGGTGGCTATCGGGAATTTCTAGGGTTCCCTCTCATTCTCACGACTCTGGAGTTGGCATTCAGTTGATGATGTTTGGGCGCACGTCGTGGGTTGCCCCCTCGTCGCCCTAGGTAATTTTCCGAGCCTTTTGGTTGCGTGTTGGGTGTCGCTTTGGGTGTTATGGCTCGCGTGGCTGGTCCTGTTCGTGGGGCTACTTTGCATGGCGACGAGGCTTCAGTATTTGCGATTTTGTTATATTTGAACACCCCCCTTGACGCGCTCAAAACTGTATGTTTTGTAATGGTCGCCGAGTGTCGCCAATCCAAGTCCCTCCCTTCGCCACACCTCCCTGTCGCCCGTCGTTTCGCCCCCACCTCGCGAAGTTGGCGAGCGGGACCAAGAATCAAAGACTTTGAGTCTTGGTCTTACTTGGGTCATGCGCTTTAAGACACGCCCTAGCAGAGCGTAAAAACCACCTTTAAAGATAAACTTACTCAACCTCACTAAGGGCATGTCCAGCGCGTTCATTTTGCCCCAATACGAGTTTTTGACTTTTTTTTTAACACGCCGAAATATTGATTCGCCAAGTGTGAATGTGTTGAGGTACACCTACAGTATCAACAGCAAAACGCGCGGACACGGGCCCCGCCCGTGTCTTGACAAATGAGCGGGTGCGCAGCGCGCACATAACAGACTGTCACGCGAAAACAGCAGGGTAACGAAATTTCGCACCGAGAAAGAGGCCACGCCCGCTTTCTCGAACACGCATCACGAGCCGCGACTCCACCCAGAGGGGGAAAATGGAGGGCTCACTTTCCCCCTCGCCAAAGGAAAAAAACACAGAAATACATGACGAATTCCAATTCTTCTTCCGCCTTTTTCGCCGTGCTTTGCAAGCGTCACGAAAGCCTGGCGAATGTAAGCGTTCGATTTTTCGCCAGCCAGGTTTTGGATGTTTCTGCCGTATATATAATTTGGGCACGATTTTCATTCGTTTCGAAAACGTGCGGCCCACGTCTGTGAGCACATTTGGAGGGTGTCCGCCAAAACCGTCAATTTATCGTGCGTGTCCGAATGGACACAAATGTTTGGGTTACCAGGTTGAAATTTCGTACCTGATATGCAAAGTGAATAGTAAACGAACAAGCTGGACACGCCCTAAAGAACTAAACTGTACATGTACTGCACCCTCCCTAAGGCGTGTATCATGTGCCAGACACACGACGTCACCCGACTTCCCAACGGGGTACAATGCGTTTTCGCACGATTGAGAATTTCTCTGTGCGTTCAAAATCGGTGACTCGACGTCAAACCGTGACGTCGTGGTGTTCAGCCGTACTTGATACAACACCCCCTAATCCTTTCGGGTTGGGTTGGGTGGGTCCATTCCATTTGTGAACAGAAGTAGGCGGCAACAGTTAGAAGTATCGCGAAAAAATATCTGATGCCTCCAGCCAATGGGAAGCGTGAAATAAAATATCTGATTGAGCTTTTGCCCTAGAAAAATATGAAAAGTTGTACAGATGCATGAGAAAAGTACACGTACTGGAGTCATACGTCAGCGATCCAAAATCCTTGTTCCTCATTGGGGATTCTCTGGCGCGCTGTGCTGACGGCGACACTTTGTTTGCTGGTTAGAAGAATTGGTGGGCAGGCGAGCAGACAGCACACGAGATACCTCGTCATCTCATCCGTCCGCCTGCCTTTTGTGTGCCCGCCGATCGTTGAGATGGATGAACCACAAAGCCTCTTGGGGATCTGCCGGTTCATTCTAAGTTTTCGAATCTCGATTTCCCTGCACGACAGCATCCTAGACTAGGGTTTGGTGGAGGCTGGGGAGAGAACAGCCATTTTCATCTCTTTGATCTGCAGACGACACTACTACTCTGTACGTACTTGACCTCAGAGCAACTACGCTCTCTTTCCTTACAAGGCGGGGTTCATTATTTTAATTTACGTTGTATTCTACTGTTGTCGAGACGCCAGTGTTTTGCTTGCTGCGCCCTGATTGTGTATCCTCCTAATTAGGAATTGATGCTGTTACGTTCAGTCCCCGAACCCAATGGATGACATCAGAGGTCCTGTAGTGGGCCAGCAGCATGGCGTGTACCCGGAAGGCCGTCAGCAACAGCACCAGCAGCAACAGCAGCAACAGCCGGCTGCGAGTGTCGATGGTGTCCAACCGTTAGGTTGGCAGAGCAGTGAGCTAGGGTTGCTGCAGCAGCAGCAGGCTCGCATGCACCAGCAACTCCTGATTCAGCACCAGCAGCAGTGGTGGCAGCAGCGACAGCAGCAGCACTACTTATTGCAGCAACAGTCTCTGCAGTGCGAACAACAGGAGTTTCAGCTTTTGCAGCTGAGGTCGCAACTGTGGCAGCAGCAGCACCAGCAGCAGCAGCAGTCACAGCAGCAGCAGCCGCAGCAACCACAGCTGCAGCAGCCGCAGCCGCAGCCGCTGCAACAGCAACTACAGTCACACCAACAGCATCAGCGAGAGCAGCCGCAGCAGAAGCACCAACAGCGGCAGCAGCCACTGCTGCTGCAGCAGCAGCAACAAGAGCAGCAGAAGCAGCAAGAACAGCAACAGGCATGGCGATGGCAGCAGCAGCAGCAGCAACAGCAAGAGCAGCAGCGTGTGGAGTATAAGCAGTTTCAGGAGCAGCAGTGGCAGCAGCTGGCTCAGCTGCATGAACGGCAGCAGAAGGAGCTCTTGCAGCACCAGCAGCAACACACGCAGCTGCTCCAGCACCGCCAGCAGCAACAACAGCATCAGCAGCAACATCAGCAACATCAGCGGGAGCAGCAGCAGCAACAGCAGCAGCAGCAGCATCAACCGCAGCAGCAACAGCAGCAGCAGCAAACCGTATCGGAACGTGCAGTTGTGGACGGCACTGGCGCGTCACCCTCTTCTCATTTGGCGCTCCAGGCGTCCAGCCATACCCAGCAGCATCAGCAGCAACCGCAGCAGCAGCAGCCGCGCGCAGAGGAGACAGCGGAGGCACAGCACGCGCACCTCTCTCCGCGCTCCCCGTTTCTTCCTTCCGCGACCACCCCCGCCGTCGCTCATCGTCCTCATCGTGTGTGCGACGCCTGTTCCTGCCAGCCCGCCGTGCTCTACTGCGCCGCCGACGACGCGTACGTGTGCGAGGCGTGCGACGTCTTCGTCCACTCCGCCAACCCCCTCTCTCAGCGCCACGAGCGCGTGCGCCTGGGCCCAAACGGCGCGCCGCTCAAGATTGACCGCAGAAGCGGGGGGTGCCTACCGATGCGGCCGCCATTCTTTCGCGCCCCCCTGCTGGAAGGCGCGGAGAGTTGGCGCAGAGCCTGCTTCCGCCCGCAGACGAGTCTCGGGTGCGGGGCGGGGCGGCGGCGTGCAGTGACGCGGAGGAGGGCTTGGCGGGAAGCGTGGCGGGGCCGGCGGCGGGCGCGAATGGCGCGGAGAGCTCGCTGAGCGGGCTGCCGTCCAGCATGTCCGGCACCAGCTCCTCCTCGCACCCCCCCGCCCCCGCCGCCCCGCTCACGCCCACTATCCGCCCGACACCAAAGGCGCAGCCCACGGCGGGGTGGCTGGCGGGGGCGCGGGTGACGCGGGGAGGGGAGCTGGTAGAAGGGGGAAAGCGGCGGATGGGACGGACGTCGCAGGGGCGAGCACGGTGATGCCGCAAGGGGCGAGTGCAGGCGGGGCTATGGGCGGTAGCTTGGGAATGAGCAGGATGATACGGGAGGGTGCTGCGGCCATGCATGCGCCACAGGATCATCACCCGCAGCATCAGCAGCATCAGCAGCAGCAGCAGCAGCAGTCAACTTCACAAACCCGAGAAGCCGCGGCACATGCGCAGGAGACAGGGGCTCATGGTCGCTTGCTGCCTCTCCACGCTCACAGCCTCCCTGCACCCTGCCTTGCCCTGGTCCAACGCAGCAGCAGGCGCGCCACATCCCCCCCTCACTCCGCCCATGGGGCCGTTCGCCAAGGTGCCTCTGGTGCGCGCACCTGCGAGGCCCGTTCACCCCTCCCAGCGCCTACGCGGGCTGCCTGCTATCGCTGCCCAGCGCGGCGGACCGTGAAGGCGCACGTGGCTGCGCATGTGCCGCCACCCCGCCCCTCGCCCCCCGCTCATGCCGCCACTTCGGCTGCCGCACCGGCATCCAGTGCTGCTGCGACCGCTGGTGCGGCGGGCGGCGGGAGGGGCGTGGGGATGCATGAGGGGCGAGACAGGTCGAGGGGGACGCGCGGGCAGAGAGGAGGCGACTGGCGGAGAGGAGAAACAGGGGCGGCGGAAAGGGAGAGGAGAGGCGGAAAGGCGTGGAAGCAGCAGCGGGGTGGATGGACGAGCGGGTGGTGCAGGTGTGCGGGGAGGAGGAGGCAGGGGAGGCGGAGCGAGCGGGCAGGCGTGGCGGCTTTGAGGAGTTCGATGACATTATGGGGGGCATGGCGTTGGGCGCAGAGCCGTGCGGCGGCATGGGCGGCGTGGGGCGGGTGGGCGCGCTGGACGACATCGACGAGGACGACCAGTTCGCGCGCGACCTCGCGCTCTGCATGACGCCACGCGCCCCCGCGCCACGCGCTGCCACGCCGCCCATCGCCTGCAACCCTCCCGCGCTCTCCGCACGAGCCCACAGCTCGCGGCTGCTGCAGAGCAGGCGAAAGCCAGGCATGCCGACTACTGCCCCGCCCCCGCAGCATCAGGTGCTGCTTCCCCATGCGCCATGTCCGCAACGGGGCCAGTGACGGCCGCGGCGCTGCAGCCCGCGCCGCCCCCATGCCCCCGCACCCACGGGCTGCCCCTGGATGGGCTCAGGCTGCCCGCCCGCCCCGCCAAGCGACAGCACCTTGTGGCACTGGGGCTCGAGGCGGGGGCAGGAGATGCACACGAAGGGGAGGCAGCGGGGAGTGCAGTTGGGGGCAAGGGCAAGGGGGGTTGAGAGGCACGGCAGAGGGCGGAGGGCTGGCGAGTATAGCGGAGGGAGAGGGGGGCGAGCATGGGCGAGAGGGGAGCTGGTGGTGCAGGGCGTGGGGCGACGAGGTGTGAGGCAAGGACGCAAGGGGGAGCAGTGTGCGGGTGCAGGGGCGGGGATGGTGTGCACTCTTCCCTGCTCCCTGAACTGCCCACAAGCAGCACATGCACCCCCCATGCGCCCCCACGGCTCACACCCTGCCCATCACTGGACCGCCTCAGTGCTCATGCTCTGTTACCCCAGCGTCACCCCACTGCTGCTGCTGCGTGCATGTCCGTGAGCCACCCCGCGCCGCATGCCCCTGTTACCAGCTTCGTGAGCTCGTCTGCTGCTGCTGCGTGTGGCGCCGGCGGCATCAGGCGTGGCGCTGTCGGAGCGGTGATGGACACGCGGGCGGCTGCCTCCCACTCCCACGGGCAGGCGGGGATGAGGACGACGCCGATGCAGTGCAGCAGCGCAACGCAGCAGGGAATGGGTGCTCGGTGGAGAGAGGTGCAGAGTGGTGGAAGGGCAGCGAGGGCAAGAGAGTGCGGGAGTGGAGTGAGAAGTTGGGTGGGTGTGCGAGGGGGTGGGGGGCTGTCATCGGGGGAGGCGGAGGGGGGAGTGGAGGGAGGTGGAGGAGGTGGTGATGGAGGAGGGCGCGGTGGAGGCGCACCTCAAGGGCGTGGCGTCGCACCTCACCCTGCTCTCCGCACAGCCGCACTGCCGACCCGCGCAGGCGGACCAGGGGGAAGGGGTGCAGGCAGCAGGGATGGGCGACAGGCGGGCGGCAGCAATTCGAGGTGTGATGGGCTGTCTGGGGGCGGGGGCGGGGAGTGCGGGGGTGTCCGTCGCTGCACCTCAACTACGCGGACATCATCAGCGCGTGGTCCGACCAGGGCCACGACGGCCAGTCGCCCTGGATGGACGACCGCCCGCCCTCTCCTGCCACATGCGCCCACCCCTCCGTGTACTCCGACCCCCAGGTGCGCGCAATCACACTTCCATCCCCAGGTGCTCTCCATGGCTGTTCCCATGTGCCCTGGTGAAAGGGTGTGCAGGCCCAGCATATAAGCACACATGTACGTCCCACCACTCACATTCCGGCTGGATGTGCGTCGATAACTCTCAGCACGTGCTTTTCCCCTTCCTGTGGTCCCCTCCCCTCCGTCCCCTCCCCTCCGTCCCTCCCCTCCGTCCCCTCCCCTTCGCCCGCCACAACAGCCACTGCAGGCGGCGATGACCCCCAGTCGGTGGTGAGCACGGGCGGGAGGAGGGGCCAGAGGGCGAGGTGGGGGAGTCTGGTGTGCCGCGGGTGGCGTCCGTGCCGCATGGGCTGGACCGCGCTGCCAGCGACCTGCTGCTGGAGGAGGGGCAGGCGGAGGGGCGTGAGGCGCGCGTGCTGCGCTACCGGGAGAAGCGGCGCAACCGGCTCTTCTCCAAGACCATCCGCTACCAAGTGCGCAAAGTCAACGCCGACCGCCGCCCCCGCATCAAGGTGCGTACAAAGGGGGTATAGGGGGAGGGAGGGAGGGAGGGAGGAGTTGGGCAGGTAGGGTTTGGGGAATGAAATTTGGTGATGAGTTTTAGGCCTTTTTGAAAGCAGTAATTGGGTGCTACCTGTATGATGCTATCAACCCTCCTCCGTTGCTTGGCAGGGACGATTTGTGAAACGAGACTTGTGAATCCGCTGAAGGATGTTGTCTGCCGGGTCAAATATGGAGTGGCTACAAATGCTATGCTACTGAATTGAATTATGTATATGGTTTGTGCTTAGATGTGCGAGTTACATAAGCTTTGTTGTTATTAAAGCTTTTATTTGTTATTGCTTGTAGATGGTAGATGGGCCATTTGTCATGTTCCTGCACTGAAGTAGTTATGGAGGCAGATTGTACGGTGGTTGAACTGGTAATCCTGTTGGTCGCAGCCATGCCTCCACCCGCCGTGTGGTGATTGCCGAGCAGGATGAGAGGCATGGAGCAGCCGCGGCAGCGTCAGTGCTTCAGCATGCGGCGTCGGAGATTGCGTCGGGGCGTCTCAGCTAGTTGAGAAAGCAGCCTTCCTCCCCAACAGTCCGCGCGTCTTTGATCCAACGCTCTACCGTCACTGCGTCATCGTCTTCGTTCCGCCGTTGCAACCATCTTGCGTTGACCATCTGTGCGCCGTTGCAACCATCTGTGCGCCGTTGACATCCATACATCGCGTCCCGCCCCCCTCGTCCCCCTCGTCCCCTCGTCCCCCTCGTCCCTCGCGTCCCTCTCGCGTGGCGCGGCATGGCGGCGAGCGGCGGGGGTTCAACATGAGCGTGTGCGTGGCGGCGTGCGCGTCGCTGCAGCCGTGTCTCGACACTTGCTACGTCTACGACGGCTGGCGCGCCCCGCCCTCGCTATCGCACGACGTCGCATTCTCCATCGCAGGTACGTCGCCCACAGTTTCCGCCCTGTCGGCTGGCCGCCCTGTAGTCGTTTCGCCTCGTCCCTCGCCGTCGCCGTCGTCGATGCGTGTCTCCTTGCGTGTCTCCTTGCGTGTCGCCTTGCGTGTCGCCTTGCATACCCCAAACCCCCCCTCCATGCCCCCCGCTCCACACCCTACGCGGCGTGGCAGGCGGCGTGAGCGTGGTGGGCGCGGCAGTGGCGGCGTGCATCATGGCCAGCACGCTCGCGCTCGACCTGCCCTCGCTGCAGGTCAGCGTCCCCCACTCCCCACTGCCCACTGCCCTCGTGCTTCGCATCGCCGTGCTTTTTGCCGCTTCCTCACCCGTGCTCCTCTGTGCTGTGCGCGGACCCGTCCACATGCAGGCGCTGGCAGGCGGGAGAGACAAGGCCGCGCGCAGAAAGGTGCGCTCCAACCCTCGCCTTGCCGCCTCCTCCGCGTCGTTCTGCCGCCCTTGTCGTCTCGCCTCCCCCTTTGGCCGCACAGGCTTTCACTCAATGGGGATGCCTCTGCACAGATGACTTTTCCCTCATCACATGCTGCCACCCATGTGCTCCCACAGCTGCTACCCATGTGCTCCCACAGCTGCTACCCATGTGCTCCCACAGCTGTTAGCCATGTGCTCCCACAGCTGTTAGCCATGTGCTCCCACAGCTGTTAGCCATGGCGTGCGCATGCCATCTCTTCCCGTGTCTCTCTCACCACCTTCCTTCTCCCCCTCGCCCCCTGTCCGCACCTCGCTGTTGGCTTGTTGCCAACTGGCCACCGGTGTGTGCGTGTGCCCCGCCAGGCGCGCGCAGTGCTGCGGGTGCGGCGCCACGGCAACCTGCTGCTAGCCGCGCTGCTGCTCGCCAGCTGCCTCGCCTCCACCCTCGCCGCCGCCGCCTTCACCGGTACCCCGCCCCCCTGCCAGTGCTTTCATGGCGCCTGCCGGTGCTTTCATGGCGCCTGCCGGTGCTTTCATGGCGCCTGCCGGTGCTTTCATGGCGCCTGCCGGTGCTTTCATGGCGGCTGCACATTCTCTCGCACCACCGCGCTCCTCGCCCCTGCCACACTTCCCTGCCACCATGGCGCCATACAGCATGGCAGCATGCTCCCTTTGACTCGCTCATTTTCTCAGCCTCCCCTCCCCTGCCCTCGCCCCTGTCCACCCCACACTGCCTGTGTGCGTGCCCCAACTTGTGCAGAGCTGTTGGGAGTGGGGTGGGGGTCGCTCTGCGCCTTCTCTCTGCTCTTCCTCTGCGCTGAGATCCTGCCCCCCGCCCTCTGCACCAACCGGTATCCCCCCAACCTGTTTGCACAGGTCTAAGCCTAACCCTCATACTCGCCATGTCATCATCCCCTCCTCCCCTGTTTCGCCATTTCCCGTGATCCACTGCCGTCATGCATCACATGTCTTTCACTCCAATGGGGAAGTCACAGAGTGAGCTCGAGGGTGAATGCCTCTTTCCAACTCGTCCTCCTTCTCTCCCCGTTGTCCTTTCCCCCCCCATCAGGAGTCTGCAGGTGGCGGGGGCCACGGCGTGGGCGGCCATGGCGGCGCTGATAGTGCTGTTCCCAGCAGCGTGGCCTGTGGGGCTGCTGCTGGACTGGCTTGTGGCGGGCAGCGGGCACACCCCGGATTATGGCGATGGGGTTGTGGTGAGGCTGGGGTGGGGGAGCTGGGGAGGGGGTAGGGCGGGGGGGAATGGTGGCATGGCAATGAGGGTTGGCATGGAGATGCGCGTGAAGAACAATGCGCGCTGCACTCTCGCCTCCGTCCTTCCCTCCATTCAGCCCTTCCGCCCTGCCCTCGCCACCCGCTCCTTGCCTTGCGCTGTGCCATGTCTGTCTATCTGCCTGTCTGTCTGTCTGCCTGTCTGTCTGCCTGCCTGCCTGCCTGCCTGCCTGCCTGCCTGCCTGCCTGCCGCACGCCCGCCCGCCCGCCCGCCCGCCCCGCCTGCCTGGCTGCCTGCCTGCTTGTTTGTCTGTCTGTCTGCCTGTCTGCCCTGTCTGTCTGTCTGTCTGCGTCCCCGTGCTCGCAGAAGTGCTGCCTGGCTCCCGAACCTCAGCAGCAGGAGGACGACGAGGGAGGGGGCGACGCGTGTAATCCAGGGGAAAGGGGTGGGGTGGAGAGAAGGAGTGGGGAGCAATGGATGCAGAGGGGGAGGTGGGAGAGAGGAGGTGCGGGGAGGGTGTCATTGGTGGTGGTGGCGGCAGGAAGGAGAGCAGGCAGGGGGAGGGCGAATACGAGTGGGAGGGGCAGGAGGGGACGAGCGTGGAAGCTTCTTGTGGAGGGGCACGTGGCGATGGGGGCGAGAAGGAGGTGTGCAGGAAGAGTGGGGGGGAGGAGGTTGATGGGATGGGTAGTGGTGATGAGGGGGCGAGCAGCGGGCGTGCGGCGGTGCAGATGGTGGCGCTGCACTCATCCCTGCATGCCGCCCCTTCGCCATCACCTTCCCTCACTCTCTCACATGCCGCCCTCGCTGCCCCGCCCTCCCTCCCACCCCATGCACCTCCCCCCTTCCTGCACGCCTCCGCCCTCTCGTGCCCTGTGCCCCCTGCCGGCCCCCTCCACCGCCCCAGTCCCCCCAGCGCCGCCCCCCTGGTTCCTGCAGTCGTGGGAGCACGCTGCCGTGTGGGCGCGCCTCGCTGCTGTGCCGCCCACACCCGTTGCCCCGGGAGCCCTTCCCGGTGTGTCTGCCCCTGCAGTGCAGGCTGCTGATCGGAGTGCAAAGGCCCGGGGGGGGACAACATGCATCAAGTGAGCGAGAGCAGAGGTCAGCAGCTTGCTGATTCCACCGCCCCCCCAGCTGCCGTCCCCCTCTTCCCCTGTCGTCCTCCACCCCCTGTGGCGCCACCGCCCCTCCCTGCCCGCTGCTGGGCCCTCCTCCCGTGAATCAAGGGCCCCCACCAACCCGAGCGCATGAGCCCATGGCTGCGGTGGCTCCCCCCCACTCACCGACCCAACAACGCCCCCAAGCAAGCACCTGTTTCCAAACGCCTGAAGCAAGCACCTGGTTCCAAACGCCTGAAGCAAGCACCTGGTTCCAAACGCCTGAAGCAAGCACCTGGTTCCAAACGCCTGAAGCAAGCACCTGGTTCCAAACGCCTGAAGCAAGCACCTGGTTCCAAACGCCTGAAGCAACTGGCCCCTCGAGACTGCAAGACTAACACACGCTTTTACAGCGCCTAGTGTTGCTGCCATAACAGTGCTCTCAGTTGTACTGCAGCATTGGGGATGCTGAGCAGCTGTACCTCAGAAGTACTGTAGATGTAAAAACATGACAGTAGACGTACAGGAGCTTGTACCTTGTGTGCATAGTGAAGCAGAGCTGCCTGCAGGCAAGGTGTGATAAAAGGAGATTGCAGACTAGAGAACTGTGGTGTAGAAACGTAATGGCCAGCTACACATGCACACCGTGAATTTATAAAAGAATTCATAAATGGAGTGTCAGAGATGGGGTTCGAACCCATGCCTCTTGCGAGACCGCAACTTGAGTGCGGCGCCTTAGACCACTCGGCCACTCTGACACGAACATGAGGTTCCAAAAGCATTTAATTCAAAAAACAAATTTACCCAGTTCCATCGCTGATTGTTTGTGCGGTTCCATTGTCACGATGGATGATCAGCAACCGCAAGAGGCGCAGGCAGAGCAGCCCCAGCAGTTGCCGCAGGCAGGGCACGAGGCTCAGCAAGCGCCGTATGAGCACCACGAGGCGTACCAGCAGCAGCAGCAGCATCCGCACTACGAGCAGCAGCAGTATCAGCAGCAGTACCAACAGCAGCAGTATCAGCAGTACCAGCAGCAGCAGCAGCAGCAGGCACAGTACTACAGCTACGACGCCAGTCACTCGCACTACCCCCCCAGCACCTACCGCACCACCCTTACGCTTCCCCTCATGCAGCCTCCGCTTATCCCTCCACCCCCTACCCTCCCTCCGCCTACCCCCCGCACATTCCTATCAGCCATCCCCGCCGCCCGCCTATCCACCCGCTCAAGACTCCGCTTTCTCCGCTCCTTCTCCTCTCGCCGCCTTCTTCGACCCGCGCGAGCCGCCGCCCGCCGCCGTGGCGCCGCCGGCGAGGGAGGAGGTGCGCGGGCGCGTGGAGAAGGCGGCGGAGTACGCCGCGAAGAACGGGCCGCAGTTCGAGGCGCTCATGCGCGACAAGCAGCGCGGCCACCCCACGTACGGCTTCCTGGAGCCGGGCGGGGAGGGCGCGGACTACTACCGCTTCCGCCTCTGGTGCGCTCTCTCTGGCGCGGGGGGCGCGGACGCGGCGAAGTGGGGGAGGGGAAGAGTGGGGCTGATGGGGAGGCGGAGAGTGGGGGGGGAATCAGGGGGAGAAAGGCGGAGAGCGGGGAAATGTGGAAGGGAAGGTAGAGGGGGTGCAGGAGGGGGGAAAGAGGCAGCAGAGGGCGCGGTGGGCGCGCACCAGGCGCAGCCGGGCTCTGAGGCTCCTGCGGCCGCCCATCCCTCCGCCGATTCCGCCCCTCCCCTTCCCCCGCAGCCCCCAACTGCTCCCCAAGAGGCGGAGGCGGACATGGCGCTGCGGGCGGCGGTGGCGGCGGCGGGGCTGCCGCTGGACGTGGGGGCGAGGCGGTGGCGACGCTGGCGGGGCTGAGCGGCACCAAGGACGCCATCAAGAGCGCCAAGGCGTGGGTGGCGTGGCGCGGCGCCATGGGGTGGGCGCCGCACATCGCGTGGGTGCTGAGGGAGCGCATGGCGGCGCTGAGCGGGCAGCCCGAGCGGCAGCTGCACGTCATCTACCTCGTCAACGACGTGCTCTTCCACAGGTGAGGTGTGCTCTTCCACAGATGCTCTTCCACAGGTGAGGTGTGCTCTTCCACAGGTGCTCTTCCACAGGTGAGGTGTGCTCTTCCACAGGTGCTCTTCCACAGGTGAGGTGTGCTCTTCCACAGGTGCTCTTCCACAGGTGCTCTTCCCCAGGTGCTCTTCCCCAGGTGCTCTTCCACAGGTGCTCTTCCACAGGTGCGCTCTTCCACAGATGCGCTCTTCCACAGGTACGCTCTTCCACAGGTGTGCGCCGTGGGCCGCATACCGCTGCTGCCCACCTGACCGCTGACTGTCTCGCCTCCCCCCATCATTGCCCATCTGACAGCACTTTCCACCCTCTCTCTCCGCCCCTCTCTCTCCGCCCCTCTCTCTCCGCCCCTCTCTCTCCGCCCCTCTCTCTCCGCCCTCTCTCTCCGCCCTCTCTCTGCGCCCCTCATCCTCTCTCCCCCCCTCCAGTCTGCAGCAGCGGCCACAGCCGTCGGCAGTGGACGCGGTGGCGGGGGCGCTGCAGCCGTGCCTGGGCTTCATGCTGGCGGCGCTGTTCCACGGGGGCGGCCAGCAGCAGAGCAGCAACCAGGAGCGCCTGGGGAAGATCCTCGCCTTCTGGGCCACCAAGGAGGTGTAC